AAGATTGTCCAGTAAAGGGCAATGAGATGAAATTTTGTCATATGTGGAGAAAAATTCATGCCGAATTTTGTGAAAGATTGGGTTCTGCTAGTATGGAAATGACATTGGCTAGTAGGTGGAAAATTTTGAATAAAGAGTTGGGGAAATGGAGAGATGCATTGGCAAAAGAAAGGGACAACCATCGAAGTGGCCAAAATCTTGGCAATGAGGTAACTTATTTGTAATTTCCATTTTATTAAATTTAATGTCCTAATTTTTGTTAATGTTTATTGCATTTCCAATATTTTTGTAATGTTACTTGCATTTTCATTTTTTTAAAAAAATATTTCTTGCATTTTCAATATTTTATTAATGTGTCTTGTTTTTTTTTTTTAAATAGATTATGCAGGCACAAATGTGGTTCAATGCCATTGGGCAAGGCAGAAAATCTTTCAATCATCAACAATGTTGGGAGGTGGTGAAAAATTGCAAACGATTTAGAATTATTCCCACAGGTCCGACTGTTGTGTTAAACGAGACGCCACTCCATGATTAAACAGCATTGGATTCGCTTTTAGATTCCCCGATGAGTCAAGACTCACCAATCCAAAAGGAGTCGAGGCCTATTGGTTGAAAGGCAGTGAAGGCGAAGAGAGGGAGTAATTCCAGCAATGATATTGCAAAATTGTGGGAGCAAATTGCAAGGAACGGCACCATGACAATTGAGTTAGACATGAAAAAAGATGCGGAAGAGAATGCAATGAATGAAGAATATGCAAGAGAAAGGGAGCATACACGCAAACAAGACATTGAGAAGAAGAATCGGGAAACCATGACTATGGATACAAGCCATATGTCCCTTGAAACAAAACAATTTTGGAAGCTAGAACGAAGGGATGTTATGAAAAGAAGACTTTTCCGTGACAATGGACCTAGCAACATCGATTGGTTAAATGATCAAAACTATTAAGTTAGTTTGCTTGCCTATTATTTAATTGTATTGCTTGTTTTGTATTAAAGTAGTTGTAATTCTTAATTAGTTGTATTGCTTTCTTTGAGTGAATAAAGAAATCATTCAATAAAATACATTTTTATTCAACACATTGCATACATCAAACAAAAGGCAAGGAAAAAAAAAAAACACAACCAAAGCATAATTAAAAGTAAAACATCAACACAAAGCAAAATTTAAAACAAATCATCTTCACTTCACTTCATTCACCTTCATTGCCTCTCACCACCCATAAATGCTCCATCAAGTCAACTTGACGTCGTTCATGAATATAAGATAATTGCATCTCCGTATATCGATCAATCATATGTTTCATGAAACGACCGTCCCTAACCAACGGTTCATGCTCCAGTTGTTGTCCATTTGGGCCTATGGGCCTTTCATAAATTCTTGTCAAGGCCGTGTTCATAGGATCCGGTTCGAACACGTTTGGAGTAACATAATCATACTTATCCTCCACAATCATGTTATGGAGGATGATGCAAGTCATCATAATGCTCATCATCAAACATATGCGCAGCACCCCTAATAATTGCCCATTGAACTTGGAAGGTACCAAAACATCTTTCGACATCTTTCTTGTAACCCTCTTGATAGGCATAAAATAATTTTTCCTTCTCAGATCGGGGATGCAGAATTGATTTGACAAATGTAGTCCATCTCAGGTAGATGTCGTCTGCTAGATAATACCCATTCCAGTAGACGGTATTGTTGATTTCATAGGTGATATTCGGGGCTTCACCTCTCAAGACATCGTTGAATATCGGGGATTGGCCCAGCACGTTCAGGTCATTTTGAGATCCGACAACTCCGAAGAATGCATGCCAAACCCATGTATCGAATCCAGCAACGGCTTCGAGGATGATACTTTTTTCCCTTTCCTATTTCCATAATCTCCTTGCCAGGCAGTTGGGCAATTCTTCAATTGTCAGTGCATGCATTCGATACTTCCAATCATGCCTGGAAAACCTCGAGCTTTAGATTTCTATAGAAGCCTTTAGAGGTCCCTAGGCGTAGGTTTGCAAAGGTAGTCCCTGGTATAGACAGTTTTGATTACATCACAGAATCTGACTAGGCTCTAGAGTAGTGGACTTCCCCATCCTAGCAATCTTATCCACCTGATCAGCAGATGCACCATACGCCAGCATTCGTAAAATAGTAGTAAGCTTTTGCTCTAGAAGAAGCCCCAAAACCCCAGCAACATCACACTTCTGAACGAAGTATGCATCATAATTGCAAACATTATGCATGACTTTATTGAACAAATGAGGTTGCATTCTATATCGCCCTCGAAAATCAACATTAGAGTACATAGAATTTGGGATAAAGTAATCTTCCAAAAGATTCTTACCCCAAGAATACCTATGTCTATCCACGTTCGGGCCACAGTGGCGGCCTTGGCTTGATAGTTCGAGTATATGCACTGCCATGGCAATTTGTTCATCATTTTCTTGCTGCACCTTTTTTTCTTCAGCTCGTTTACACCTTTTTTCTTTAAATTCTCGCTCTTGCCTCTCCAAGCATCTCCTCATGTCTGACATTGAGAGTGGAGTATGAAATCTAAAATCTGAGAAATGAAATGATAGAGAAGATCTGGTGTGAGAGGGATGTTATGAGCCTCTGGTTTTATAGAGAAATTTAAAAGATAGAGATGACTAGTGGCGCAATTTTCGAGAGTGAAAATCATATCTAAATATGAGATTTGTATTTTATAATAAACATCGACACGTGGCACCCGAGAATCTAATCCTAAAATCTTATCTGAAATTTGAGATTTTTTTTAAAAATAAATATTGACACGTGGCAACCGAGAATCTTATCCAAAAATTTTATCCGAAAAATTCATTAGAATTATGAGATATGAATTTTATAATAAATATTGGCACATGGGAACCCAAAATCTTATCCGAAAATCTTCTCCAAATTAATTGTTTAGGTAAAAAAAATAAAAATGATAAACTAAAAGTGAATACTATTTGCCCTTTGCCATGGTAATGGGTGAAAACACACCTTGCCTTTTGGAAGGGCTTTCACTATTTATGTGAATAGTAATAGCCATTGCCTCCCCTTTCTCTTTGCCATGTCAAATGGGTGAAAGTGCTCTAAATACATATTCTTGCATGTGTGAAATTTTGGAGGTGAAACCTCATATACGGTTTGACAAAAAAATAAGTTCGACCGTGCATTATTTCGAGTTTTTGGCACTTCGTATTGAAGATAATGGTGTGAGGAGTTTTTAGAAATTTTTGGTGTACATTTAAGTTTTTAAATTTTTTATGAATTTTCTAAGTTTAACAATAACAAAAAATATAAATGTAAATAAAACGTACCAGAGATTGCCAGAAGAAACCCTATGACACTAGGTTAAAGAGAATTAACTTTTCTCGCTAACCCTCTTCCTCCAATTATTGCTTTTCAATTTCCCTTGAGTCAAAATATGATTCTGGCACTTTATAGTCAAAGATAATGTTGTAAGGAGTTTTTAGCAACTTTTGGTTTATTTTTCTGATTTTTTAACTTAATTTTTGTGAATTTTTTAAGAAAAGCAATAACAAAATATAAAAAGAAAACTTAAATAACAAGTGGCGGCACAAGAGAGAGACACATTTCAGAAGAATTGAAGGCGCACCACTCAGACGCTGCGACATGTCATTGTCTTCAACTTATTGTTATTTTAAATGTTTAAACTTACAAAATTCATAATAAATTTATAAAAACTCATAAAAAGAAATCAAAATTATGTGAAATCATTATGACATTTTCTCCATATTTGAAGCTTTAAAACATAATTTTGATTTAGAAAACAATTCAAATAATTTCTCAAACATTTTCAAAGTTTGAGAGAATTAACTTTTATTTTTTGCCACAGTCATGCTCCCATAGCAATCTTCGAATAAAGACATTCTCATCATTATATTATACAGTTATTCTCTCATCCAGATGTCCTCACATTATTATCGTGCGAATGTTATTGTAAACAGAAAAGAAAGCATGGTAGTAGAAAATATATGGCGTCTGCATAATAATAATCACATGACGTCCGCATATGAGAAGTTCTATATATATATACACACACATGTGAATACCATAAATACAATCACAACATGATATGGTCATTCACCAAAAAATACCATCCATTTCTCTGAACACTAAGAAAATTCATTTAAAATCGAAACAGGTTCCATTTACCCATGAACTGTTGTCGAAAAAGTCCATATAATTTTAAATCAACAAAACAATTTATAAACCACATCAACATGTTAATCATAAGCCATTAACATTAAGCAAATCCACATTATAATAAATACAATACTTGTGATTTAATTACCTCTCGTCCACGAATCCACAATCTTAATGAGGAACTCTGGTCATGGTTGAAATACTAAGAAGAAACTAGTTTGCTTTCATGGTCATATAATTATATTACTTCCATCACAATAATCTTCAAAATAGTTGTTAAAATTAACCCTAAACCTCAGGTTAAAACATTGCAATGTTTGCCTTTTCTTTGGTTGATTGTCAAGTCAACTGTTTTATGCCCATGTGACACGTTTTGAACCCCACTTTTATACTGATGTGGACAAAAAATTTGAGCTGCATGAGAAAATGAAAATCTAAAATTAAAAAACTCCAGTTGTCTCTTAAAAAAATATTAAAATTTTAAAGATAAATTAAAATATCGCAGCTCATAGGAGCATATGTCAACCCCTTGTTCTTAATGCATTTCTTTTATAAAACAGTGGAAGCATATATTCTCTGTATAAATAAGCATTAAAATTGCGAACAATTATCACTGATTGAAAACCTATGTAGAGAATTCTTGTGTTCACACCTTTTATCAACTCTTTTTATGCTTTTTCCACTGCTTTTTATTCTCCTCTTCAGCAAGTGAAGAATCCAAATCAAAATCAACCCGCAAGTCTTTTGGATTTAAGACCCTGTTTTCTTGCCTTTTATTAGCCTTTCCTGCTTGCTTTTGGAATTGTATGACGTGGATGAACCTTGCTTTATTTCAGTGTCTTAATACAAATTTTGGCTCACCAATCTGGCTTCAAACAATTGATGCTGAGAAGATGATAGTAGCCAAAAGTTGAAGGACGTATCTGGAGCCCTTTCTCAAGAATCAGAACCACATGTCAGCTGGACAGATTCATAACCAAACTCAAATCCACAATATGCTCTGCCTTTAGAAAAAGGCTCTTTAGACATTACATTACTAGAAGCCGACCAATATCAGAATCTTTACACGTACAGATTTATACTAGAGTCACCTAGACACCGATCTTTGAATCGAATTTGATCTTTCGTCTTAAGTTAGATCATAGCTTCTGCTGTTTCTTCTCCAAGATGGCCAAGACACAGGCACAAGAGAACAAACCTCCAGCAGGTACCTTCTTTCTGTGCGACAAATTTTATTTTTATCCTTATGATATAGCAGGACTCACTTTTGTTTTTAATATGGTTTTGGTTTGAAGGATACCCAACTGCAACTGAGAATCTCCCAACTGGGAAGAAGTTTAGCCCTCAGACAAAAAAGAAAGCAGACATGTGCGTTATTGAGGGATGGTAAGTTGTTAGACATCTTATGCATCAGTTTTTTTTTCCTTTCAATCATCATTGTAAAAATTTCCTAAATC